ATGAGGGAGTGTGTTCTTGGCTCCCTTTTGTGATAGACGCTATTCAAACCAAGCCCGCCCACACCAATACATTGGGTAAAAGATAAAACGCCAGCGCCAGTAAACTTTTTATATTAGTTGAGGAATCCTTTACACGCCGGCGTCCCGCAGAGGCAGGGAATGCGATCTAAACTTCCAATCTCTCGCTCGAATTTGTAGTCGTAGGTCAACTCCTCATCTGGGCCTTGTTAGCTTGGCGGAAACTCGCTGGGGGATGCATTGGAACAAACTCACTCATAGCTATGTCACGCAGCGCATAAATGACGATGCGCTTGCTGCCTTCCACTTTAATAATCTTGGCTGTGCAGTTTGGAGAGCAACTGTGATTGATGAAGCGTGCTATGCCTCCCTTCTTGGTTGCATCTACAACAGTGCCTTCATCAATCCGGAAGAGATAACTGCTGCCGATGCCGCTCTTGAGATAGCGTTTCTCACGAATCTCGGCAACCTGCTGGCGGACAACTTCGCCAACATATTCAATAATCATGTCATCCTTGGCTATGTTCTCCATGGCGTAGAGACCCCAGTTGTGGATGGCTGAGCGGGCGAACTTGACGGGCTTCTTGCGCTTCTTAAGCTGGTTGAACTTGAATACGTCCGAGTCCTGGCCCAAGGTCTTCTTTTGATCGTTAAGATCAGCAACATAACGTCGATTGGTTGCACGATTGGCCCTAGAGTTGCCCTTCGTCAACAGTTTCTCCGCGGCCAATTTGGCGGCGTCGACGGCGGTCTCCTTCCCTCGCTTCTCCCGCTCTTCCCTGGCCTTCTGAACCTTGATATGATGCGGTAGATATTTAGACTTCTCCGAGTTGAGAATCTTCTTCACGCCCTCAGTCCTTGCACTTCCCGTAGGGTTTGGCACGTAGTAGCCGCCAATCGAGACTGGTGTGTTGACACTGCCTTCAGTCGAATTAAGTTGGCGAACACGGTTACGCTTCCACAGCCACAGCTCTGGATTGCCAATATCTGCAGCCGGAAATTTCTTTCGCAGTTTACTGATGTCAGGTGAATCCTTAGGACCTAGAGAGAGCTGTTGCAGAGCAGCAAAATCGGGCTTGAAACCGTCTGGAAGATCGAGAGCCGGAACAAGAGGTTCTGTTGAGAATAGTTTTTCGTCGAACTTGGCGCTGAGATCTGTAGTGGGAGGTTCAACCTTTTCTTCCTTGGATTCAGGTGAGGTGTCGGGAAGCTCCTCCTTTGGCTCCTCATCCTCGGTCGCCTCGGTTGCTGCTGCTTCCTGCTGCTTCAGTGCTTCCCTCTCTTCAAAGAGCTGCTTCTTAGACTTCTTCTTCGTCTTTACGAGCTTTTTCTTCGCTCCCTTGACAGTGGCAGGAAGTGGTGTCTGTGAGCGCGACATTGTACTCCGTTGATCTTCCGCTTCGGTGATATCAACATCCGGAGTGATGTCCTCGGTCCCTTCACGGCCCCTAAACTCGCTTTCGATGCGGCTGATTCTAACACCAAAGAGTTCTTCGTTTGATTTCTTCTGGCGTTTGAAGGCTGTCTCGATTGAAACTTCGAGCTTCCTCTTCTTAGATAGTGCTGTATCCCCGACAGGAAGACTGAATTCCGTCATGGAGTCGTCCTCACCTGGACCCCAACCAAAGTCATCCTTTGATGCTTCGTCGTCGGTACTCATCCGACTTCGGGGTCGTGAATCTACATCTTCACTATCCCGAACCAGCGCGCGCAGATCAGTCTCATCCTCAGATTCAATATCACTATCCAGACTCTTGAGCCGATGGTGAAGAGATCTGAAGGCAGTGCGAGGAACGGCAGTGCGTTTTCGCGCAAATGGATCTACGAACACACTCCTATGGGCTTGTGCCCTGGCTTTGGATTTGCGAATGCGGGGAAGAGCCTTCGGCTCCAAGCGGCCTGTCCTTCTTTCGATAGGGTCGGCTCCTGACGTTGGAGTGCCGAATCTTGAGCTCTCGGTCACGTCATCAGGAACCACACTCTCTTCATCGTCCTCTGCGGTATCAATATTTAGCTTGCGCCGTTTAGCAGCATGATTGGCAGGATCTAAAAAGGCCTCAAGCGCCGGTGCGGCAAGCTGAGTGCGAATGTGCCTGATTAAATGTTCCATCATCTCTGCTCGAACCACGGCTACCGCTTCGTTCACGGGATCAAAATTCTTTGCTCTCTGTTTCTTCTCCTCCTCCAGATCAGCTTCCTCCTCGCGTTTTCGTCGTTCAGCCTCTCCTGCTGAGGCCCTGGGAGGAGGTGTCCGCTCTCGTCTTATTGGACTGCGGCTCGCGTGCCGGTCATGACGACTCGCTCGGGGTAAGCAGAGCTGCATGGCCATGTCATAGTTGAAGAACTCGGTGTGATTAACAGCTCGATAACATCTTTCAGCTTCTGAACGGCCATGGTAAGAATTTTGAAACACGATGAAGAATCCCGTCTTGTCAATGCGAATTTCCTCGAGTGCATAGTTTTTCAATCGCTTCTTCATATGAGGTATGATGCTAGGCAGAAGAGGTACTTTTTCGCTCGTAACGAAGATGTAGGGGTCGTTTGCCAGTACGGATGCAAGATTCACCGTCTCCAATACTAGCTGACCCCGTGGTTGGGAGGGGGCGATCAAGGGATTCGGTGCGGGTGTTAGAGCAGGGACCGAGCTGGGCCTCGATGCTGCAGGGCCCTTGGGAGCCGTCAATGGAGCCTTCGCTATCCCAGGTATAAGCGTCGATTTGGGTCCAGTGGGAGGAATTTTTGGCTGAGGAGCCTTCGCAAGTCGCTCTTTGGCTTGTTTCTCTCGATCTCGTTTCAAATGTTCTTCCAACATTCTTTTGCTCTTCCGGCCCTCTGGATCATATTCTACTCGTACGATATCGGCATCAACTTTTATACCACGAGCTCGCACTGCGCGCCGAGCGGCATCGATTGCAGACACTATAGGACGACTAGAGCGAGAATCTCGGTAGCGGATCGTAGCAAATCCCAAGTAGCTACCAGTTTCAGGGTGCATCTTGTTGCTGCTCTCGGCAATTTCACCAAAAGTGGCGAAGATGGCTGTCACCTTATTGAATGGGACGAGAGGATTATACTTGGTCACAACAATCTGGGTCGGTGGTCCAGGGCCGATGGATGTCTTGGGGTCATACGGATACGGGCGCAAGTTTTGAGGGGCGGGCCGCAACCGAGCTCTGGGCAAGTAATAATCGGTGTTGATATATCCCAATCGACCGCCCGCCTTTGCCAGGCGAGGATCCGAAGGGGGAGCGTCATCGTCCTATTCCATAAAAATTAGCCTCGAATTCACAAGTGATGACGCTCCCCCTTCCCACGACGGGATATATGTATATTCATTTTATACGTACCAAACCGAACTCCTTGTATATTGGCTTTGAGCCTTTATTGGTACCCTTATTGCGTAGTCGATCGAGTGTAGGATCATATGTGCATTTGATGCCCTTGATGGATGGCAAAGGGTCTCGCGCAGGGATGCGCTCGGTTATGGGGGTATAGTCAGATACGGCGCCATTGTGACCGATGGCACGAGGAGTTTGAGATGTTGGTCTTCCGACGTGATCGCTCGATGAGCCCGACGAAGGCATTTCTTGTTTTGAGGGTGCAATGGTGAGTGATAACGGGGACGACCCTTCCGATGCCAGTGGGGTAGCACTGGCGGTCGGGAAGCGGGATGAGGCAGCTGTCGCGGTATGTCGCGCGCTAAACACGGTAGATGCTAAGCTGGTATGAGAGCTCGTAGAGTCGACCGTGCTGGGAATGTCTCCGGGTAGAGATTCGTTCTCATCGATGCGAGCCTGACACTGTCCGTGAGGGGCATCCGAGGATATATTGCCAGGGCCAGATGGATGAGGCCCCGGGCTGATGGGTTGAGATTCCAGAGTGGAAGGACCTGGCCTGTCCTCTCGCAATGTGTCAACACCGTTAGTCTTTGGCTTCGACCGCTCCCGGTCTGCCCGACCTTCGGCTTCTGCCCTGACCTTGGGGGCAGTAGGGAAGAATTGCGCGAAGCCCGGGACAGACGTAGGACGGGTCATCGTGATCGATGGGCTCCTGCTATCGACTCCACCGTACTTCAATCATCATCTCTCTTATTGTAGCCTCCGATAGTGAGCTGGGGTTGGTTTGAGGCGGATTGGGGGTCAGACCGCTGCTCTGACGCGCAAACTCTGAAAGAGTTCACGCGACCGGGCGGCTGGACAATCGCAGCGCCCCAGCAGGCGACATATACCGCGATGGAAGGCCAAGAGAAGGTCGAGGGCGTGAAAAAAACGCGGGATCTCACAGAGGAGGCGGATGCGATGCTTGGGGTGAGCGGGCGACGCGAAAGAGCCGGCTGGGGGAGGTAGGGAGGAAAAGCTGGAATGAGTGAAAGGCGGGTTTGAGCCTTCACCAGAACAACTTTCTTTCTTCGCTGTCAGGGATGGATGGTCGATCGGGCAGATTCCTAGTAGGTAATTTAGGGGTACGTACCTCCCCGTACTAGCGCCTGTGACGATTGAAGACAGCGCATCCGCCCACCAACCAACCAGCGCCAATTCATTGTGGAGGGAACACAGTTGCCCCGGCATTATAGATTTTCCGAAGCCCTGACTGACTGGTCGTTTTGCCCTTTCCCCGATGCAGGACGCCACTAGAGGCAGGCACGTGTCAATCTCCCTCCTTTAGCCTGCGAGGTACGGAAGTCCCGCGCTTGCACAGCAAAACGTCACCAAGCAAGGGGTACTGGCCGGAGTGACGTCCGTTGTTATGCAGCCTATGTACGTTTGTTGTTTTGTTTCCCTGCACAGGGCTTATTTACGGACAACAAGATGTGGTTTCCCCATTGCGGATCATTTGTATCATTATTCGCATTTCGTAACTTATTAAACAAACACAAAGCCGTCTTTGTTACTGTGTCCTGGATTGAGCCCATGCCCAACTGATTATCCAGCTAACTCCATACTCCACAAAGGAAAAATAGTAATAGTACATGTGCTAAGAACTCAAATATCAAACTTCAGCTCAAACTCCTCGTCTTCATCATCTGAAGGGAAAGGAGCGATGATAGCAGGTAGGTCCTCCTCCTCATCGTCTTGACCAAAAATGGACGTGAACTGTGGCCGAACCGCCTGGGAAGGCCGGATTCCAGTCAAGCCAGCCTCTTGTGCCCGAGCCGGTGTGATTGTGGAATCGGGATCGACATCTCGAAGAACTCGTGTTTTAGTCGTCGACTGTCCGCGAGCGGCGGTAGAAGCTGTCTCGCGGGCATGAACCAGTGACGAAGCTGCTTTGCCTTTGTTATACCCGATGGTAGTTCTTGATGCAACTTCTCTAGAGTTGCTTGCAGCAGACTGAGGTCGAGTAGAACGTTCAGGCTGCCGAACGGTTCTTTGTCCAGAAACAAAGCTCAGCGGCCGCCTACCTGCTGACATAGCACTTGTCGGTCTAGGAAGCTGAGGGCGCCCGCTTGGCGGCTGCATGGAAAGTGCAGAAGCTGCCTTTCTTGAAGTGATTGTGGAGAGCTGTCGCGAGTGACCGGTTCCTCTGATCTTCCGACCCATTTTGGCCTCAGCGACTTCCGGGACATCTGGCTTTCTTTGAATGAGCTTTGGTGGTTCTGGTGTATCGGCGAGGTTCCAGTCTAAAGCCTCCAAGTCCCGGTTGTTTTTTTCAATCGCTTTGTCCATGACGAGCTTCATCTCTTCATTGAACCGCTTTTCCTTTCTTGAGACGCCATTATCGTCAACAGGGTTATGGAACTGCTGATAGAAGCCCCGGAACAGGTTCTCCTTCTTCAAACCTTCGAACGTCAGGCCACCAGGTGGTAAGAGGTCTGATTCGTAAGGCAGATCTTTGGGTTTCGGGGGGGCGTATTCAGGCTCATCGTCCAGAGGGTCGAAACATTTGATGTCTGCTTCAACTTGGAGCGGGCCTTGCGAGACGGCCTTTGGCTTAGGCTTCTGAGTTGTTGTTGGCTTTGCCTGCGACTTGTCGATATTTTTCGTCCCGCCGACTTGGCCAGTTCGTGCCTTTGCGTTGGTCGTTTTGTTTCCTAAAGGTGCTCTTGACTGTGATTGAGGACCTGTTCCGGAAGATGTTAGATTCTATGTTGGAAATTCCTGGGGTTTTCAGTGCGAATTACCTGTTGGCGTAACCATTGATTGCTTGCCCTTGGTCATTGTGATCTTATCCTGACCCCCAAGCCTGGCTCCGCCTAGGCCATTTTTTCCTCCGAAGGCTGTAGGTGCATTCTCATCGTTCTGTCCATACTTGAGTGGTGTCTTTGGATATCTAGCGCCTGGAGTTTTTGGTTGCTGCTTTCCAGAGACCTGGTGACTGTGCACCAGGTTCTCTTGGTCACGATGGGCTGCGAGCATATTTTTGATCGAAGTTTGATGGCTCCTAATCGTGGACGAAGTGAGATGCCTGCTTTGTTTCGTCACCGAAGCTCACTACTGAGATTAAGGAGAAAGTAAAGTGGCTGCTGAGGAGGACTTGTTTTCATTGGTCGCGACTGCCTAATGGTTGGCACAGCAACGGGTGTTGGCGCACGGACTCTCTAGCCACAGAAGGAGTGACCTGGCCGCCTAAAGTGTGGCACGTACATGTGGAGGGGCATCCAGCATCTGAGCAGTCAGTCTCCCCACCTCATCCCTTTTCCCTAAGCCATCATCACAATCAACCGATATTACGACACCCACCAATCTTGCTCTCGAGCTTTTTCCCTTTTTAGAATCACACAAGAGCGTCGCACGCCGAAAACAAACTCTATTCACAATGGATCGCATCAAGGAGGTTCGTGCCCATACCGTTATTTTATCTCCAACGCTGTGGTGGGGTAAAGGCCAGCAAAGACGGAACTGCGGGCTGACAGCTGAGTAGAAAATGAACCAGCTCCGCCTGGAGGCCGATGAGGCCAACACCAAGGTTGAGGAGCTCCAGACCAAGGTCAAGACTCTTGAGCAGGATGCCTTGTCCAAGGAGCAAGAGATCACCTCTCTGCAGCACAAGAACAACCTCCTCGAATCGGAAGTGGAGAAGCTCGAGACCAGCATCAAGGATGCTAAGAAGGCAGCAGATGAGGGCCAACAACACGGCACCCAGAATGAGACTCTTCAGCGCCGTCTGCAGCTCCTCGAGGAAGAAGCCGAGGATGCTGACAAGACCCTCCGTGAGGCCAACGAGAAGTAAGCATCGACCTTTGTGAATTGTCACTTGTTTACTCACCGCGCTGACACCGTACCTAGGCTCCGACAGACCGACGTCAAGGCCGGCCACTTCGAGCGCAAGGTACAGGCTCTTGAACAGGAGCGCGACCAGTGGGAGGCGAAGTACGAGGAAATGGCCAAGAAGCACGCAGCCCTCCAGAAGGATCTCGACGACCTGCAGGGAGAGATCGGTGCCATCTAAGCGAGTTCAGGTGGATTTTATTGATATTCTTTTGTCTCTGCATGGCGTGCCGTCGAACAAATCTCAGAAGCGCAGAAGCGCGCAGGGCTATGTCTATCTGGGAAAAATACCCTTCCCTACGTGAGAGTGTATGGTGCCAAATGTGTACACGTTCACTTTGACGGAACGAGACTCGCATTCCCAAGGGGTATCTATTATGGATTGCAAATGGCGCTTAACTCAAGATCGTACATATAACAACCAACTTTCCGCTACCTCTTTGCTTTCTTGGCCCGATGTTTCCGTTCCGCAAGCTGTCTGTCGAATTTAGTCTCATAGCGAAACTTGGCTTTTTTCTTCTTTGCAGGTTGCTTGGTATCCGTTTTCGTTTCGACATTTTCCTTTGGTTCGCCCTCCTTCGTAGGTTCATCCAACACTGGCTTTTCAAGCCCATCTCTCGACACGGATACGGACTCGACTGTGACTGTGGTGTAACGATCCTCGTCAATGTATTCCTCTTCGTGGTCGACTATGTCCAGGTTTGGTCGATCTGGGAACCCTCCCCATCCATCCTCTTCGTCATCTTCCGAATCGTCTCCGTCTTCCACTGCGCCGGCCGCGCCCGATTCTCGTAAAAGCTTATTCACCATGTTGACATGATCTTCGACTTCCTTTTTTCGCTCCTCTCGTACCTATGATTTTCGAGTTAGCTTTATTACTTGCTACCCTGCATACCGGTAGATCGTTGGTGCCAATCACCTGTTTCCTAGTTTCAATTTTCTCCAGGCGCTCCCTTCTAGCCGCTTCTTCCTGTGCACGCTTGATGCGCTCCTGCTTGCGCTTGTGGAATCCGGTCAGATACTCGTGACGGGCGGCATTGTCGAATGTAACTTCTTCAACAGCGGAGGTAAATTTTCTCTTTTTGCTGGGATGGGGAAGAAGAAGTTTCTTCGGTCTTGGCTTGGCAAACATGATAATTGGAATCCAATTTCGTTTTCACTTGTCCTCGTACAAAAAGCGTAGCAAAAGGTTGTCGTCGCAACTACCAAAGAATTTTGCCTGCGTCTCAGTGGATTAATACCAGAATCCGGACCATGTCCATCGGGTTTGGGCTTATGCAGAAGAGTGGGGTCTCGCGTCTAGAGAGCATTACGTAAGGTTGAGGCCAGGTGCATCATCAGCTTCCTTTGGTTTGGAACGGTGCCAATCCCTAGGAGTAAATCGCTTTGTTTGCCAACGAATCTATCCGAAGAGTAATTCAGACCAGCCATCTCTCTCCCGCTCTACGATGCGTCTTCAGCTCCTTGCCAGTGCCCTGGCACTTTTCGGTTCTTCGGCCGCCTTCTCAGACTCATCGCCATGGGTTGTCCTCTCGACCTCCTCGTAAGCTTCTTTGAGACGTGGCGCGCGCGCAGACGGACAGCTTTTACTGACGGGATCCCATCCAGCTTCGACCAGAATAACGCCTCGAATATCCAGACGAGTGCCCAAATCGTCGAGGCCACGAAGAAGGCGTTGCAATCATGCCCCACTGATCGATACCTGCTCGTCAACCAACCAGGCATTTCCGCGCTCGATCTCCAGGCATCCAAGGATTGTCGCATGCCTCATCTTTGCCATGCAGTGGAGGACAAGAGCATCTCCGGCAAGCTGATGGCGTCCGAGGTCGTTGGGGATGTCAAGCATACGGGGCTGGAAGACTTCATCAAGGAGGCTTGCGCCAAGAAATCGGGTGTTTCCGTTGAAGCCATTGAGCTTTCCTCGCCTGCGAAGAACGACCGTGCCGGTTCCCTCGCCCAGAGCGGTATGATGCGACCCAATCGGTGATGCTTGAAACCTGGTGCTAACTCATTCATAGACGCGGCTTTCGCTGCCAAGCTTGAACACCTGAAGAATGACAAGAGCTACACTGTCATCTTCTACTCTTCTGCCGTCGAGCCAGTGTATGAGGCCGACTTCGCCGATCCTGCCCATCTGGAGTTGAGGAGAAACGTAGAGAGCCCCGTCCTCCGACGTGAGAAGAAGACCTCTGGTCGGGACAACACGAATCTATTCGAGAAGTACCAATTTTTCACACCAGGTCAGAGCTACTCGGCCCCATTCTTCGGTGTAATCTCACTCGCTAACAACGCCAATAGGCATCTTCATGGGTCTCATTGTTGTCATTTTCCTTTTTGCCATCCTGTACGTTGGCGTCAGTGCTCTCGGTAGCCTCGAGGTCTCCTACGGCGCGTTCGAGAAGGACGTCAGCCCTGCTTCTCAGAAGAAGCAGCAGTAAACGTGCTTCCATCTCAGTTCAGCGTGTTCGTGCCGCTATCCGGCCCCCCTTACATACTTTGTGTATTTTTATGTCTGCGTCACACCTGGAGTTTGGGACTGTATTTGGAGGGAAATGCACTAGAGCTCATACGATTTCGAGTTTGCAAGGTTAGAAGAGGAACATAAGTAGCTTTTGGAGCGATTAAGCTTTCCACAATGTCGTTGCAATTGAACCATGTCTTGATTACTTAAAGGCGCCATGGAAGCAGGCAGCTAAACGTCCCAAGGCCGAGAAAGCATGATGTAATCTTTTGATTTCAATAACCCTCAGTCATGAGAGAAAACAGTAAAGAACCACTACAACGCCCAGACTCCATCCCGTTCTTTTTATCCATTTACTTCTACGATCGCGGCAGTGTGTGAAACGACACTCTCCGACGACCTCAGTCTACCATACGTCCGTCCATGCCCTACACCAAGTGGCTAGGCAGCAGGAAATTGGCAATCCCCTCCTTCACGGCATACTCGTGGCCGCAGTTCCCGCAGACCAATTTGCCCTCGGAAATCGAAGTCTCGAGAAGGAGATGGTGCAAATCCTTGAGCTTCGTATTATCCGCCTCAAGCTCCTCTGCGGTTGGTGGCTGGTCTGGCAACGGGGGGAAGCCAAGCTGTAATTTTTTTTTTTCGCTGTTAGCTTGCATACTGCCCCGCGCTGCAAAAAGGCAAAAGGCCGTTTTCATGCCTCGCGACAATGTCCCACCCTCAAAAACTCGTAGATTGGTAATTTAATGAACATTAATACAACTGGGAAAAACTCACCTCCGATGATGTCGTCCGCAGAGCTGTCCAGTCCAGGCGAGGCAGCACGTTGACTATCATATCCGTGTTCAGCTCGAGCTCGTCCTGCACCAGCTCGGCGTCTTTGGGGTGCAGGGGGTGAGAGGCGGGCGAGCTCTTGCAAGCCTTGACGGCGCAGGTGAGGAAGTTGAGGGTGAGGACTTTCATGGCTGGCGACTCCCGATGGTGGTTCTTTTTGTGAGGTATGCAAGTTTGAACGTTGGGCCCTCCGACTTACAACTTTTCGTTGAGCGTCAGGTAAAAGGCCCCACGTGACAACGGCCATCGCAAGTGGCTATCCCGAAACTTTATTGACGTTCAAATGGAGTGTATGCATGCATTTCACGAGCGACCGGGCTTCTGTGACTCAATTTTTTATTCTTATTCTTGCTAAGCACTTCGGAATTTCTCGCGAGATTCCTCATGGCGCTATGTACCTGATACAGTTTGTCCCGTCGAAATATACATTTCCCCAACTCCATTACTACTTCTGCTTTAAGCAATCAAGCCTCTTGACTTCTCATCGGCAACCTTGGTCTGGCGCTTCTGGTGCTGGATGAAGAACATGACCGCGGCGAAGACAATGCCCAGGAAGAGGATTGTCTGGGTGCCGGTGTATCCGCTCTTTGGCGCCTCTAGCACGATAGGTGGCTTGACTACTTCCGTTTCATCGTCTTGGAATTCTTTGTACGCGTACCAGACTCATCAGCCCACTGCCCAAGTTTGAGTGTATATGAAACGCGCTGTGAAGGAGACATGGAGAAGAGATGAATGTATTTAGAGCTCGGAGTGCTCGGAGTTTTCGACGTGAATACCTTCAGGAGGAACTTCCAGCTCGCCGCTCTTGGCGATGGTGACCGGCTTGGCGGGCTTATCGCCTCGAGAGGTCTCGACCTTCTGGATCTTGTCAACAATCTCGTAGCCCTCGAGGACTTCGCCGAAGACGACGTGTCGGCCGTCGAGCCACCTGTGATTGAATGTTAGGATGTGCAGTTTAGTTGGGGATGGAGGGGTATGTCTTACGAGGTGATGACAGTGGTGATGAAGAACTGGGAGCCATTGGTGTCCTTGCCGGCGTTGGCCATGGAGAGCAGACCAGGCTTGGTGTGCTTGAGCTTGAAGTTCTCGTCCTTGAACTTGTTGCCGTAGACTGAAAAACAATTCCTGTTAGCCAATGATCTGTCTATCACAGATATAGGTGTCTACCCACTGGATTTGCCGCCAGTGCCATCGTGGTTGGTGAAGTCACCGCCCTGGATCATGAAGTCCTTGATGACTCGGTGGAAGGTAGATCCTTCATAACCAAAGCCCTTCTCGCCGGTAGCAAGAGCTCGGAAGTTCTCAGCGGTCTCGGGGACAGTGCCGCCGTAGAGGCCAAAGACAACCCGGCCGAGCTCCTCATCGCCGTGCTTAATGTCGAAGTACACCTTCTTGGTGATCTTGGGACCCTTGGCAGCCTCAACGTTGTGAGAGAAGAGAACCAAGACCACTCCGAAAAGGAGGGCGACGGAAATGAATAGTCTGCTGAAATTGATCATCTTGCAAAAGTTGCGATGAAGTCCGATCGTTTCGACAAAGCGACCTTGATGGACTGGTGTGAAGGGGAAAGGAGGAGAGTCGCAGAGGCGCTGTAGGGGACAACTAAACTTAAACGCCCGCCAGGAGCTGAAGCACGGGGGGTTACGACATCTGGAGCTCCACCAATACACCCCGCTGAAACACCCCTGGGGCAAGCAGTGGACCCACCACCCACCACTGCACAAGCGCTTATTAACAGCACCCAGATAGCCCAAATGTTTATCCGCCTTTTTTCCGACATCTTCAGATTTCGAGAGATGCGATGCGAAGGTTAGCATTGCAAGTCTAAAGGGAACCAGCACCGTCGTCCAGCTTCACGTCGTCACAATGGTAAGTATTCATTGCATGGGCTGTGAGATCCCACTTGGAACTTTACGTAGTCTGATATGCAACAGGTGTTTATCTTGGGTGTCAACTTCAGCGAGCAGAAGCTCGTCTCGGTAAGGATTTGACATGGCGATACACGATACAATCGAGCAATTCTAACCGCACATCTCGAATAGAAGGCGCTCCAGTCCTTCTATGCTCTCGGTCCCAGAGCCTGCGAGCGAATCATGGCCAAATACACCATCTATAGGCTTGCCAAAGTCGGCTCTCTGGCGCCAAAAACAGTCACATCTCTCACCGCAGAGCTCTCTCAGATGACACTCGACAGCGATGCAAGGAAAATAATGCAGGACAACATCAGGAGATTAAAGGATATTGGTTCATTACGGGGTAGACGACACGCAATGGGAATGCCAGTCCGTGGCCAACGCACAAGAACGCAAACTGCTACAGCAAAGAAGCTGAACAGGCTCGACCGGAGAAACTAAACCAGGCACTGTTTGCCATTGATTGATGCGCATTAGATATCCCGAGACTGGAATCAGCAGCGGAATCCCCAGAATATGGCTTTGGGCATTGACGAATAGGAGCACCAGATGTGTGCTCTTGACCTTGATAAGGATATGTATAATTGACTGTACATCATGTAGGATACATGAAATAGACTAAAAGAGACAAACGACATACGCCATCTAGCTATTCCGTACCAAAATATCGTCCTTCTTGTCTAATAGTGCTCGTAGCCATCCGGATCTTCTAGAGCAGGCTCCCCAGCCGCTTGCATATCGGCAGCGACCTCCTCGACATCCCTCCAAACACGCAGAATGTTATCACCCACAATTTTAACAACGTCGGTCTCACTGACGCCTCGTCGAAGTAACTCGGCAACCAGGTCCGGGTATTTGGTAACGTCCTCAAAACCTGCAGGGCGGCTCGGGATACCATCCAAGTCGGTTCCGATGCCAACATGCTTGTATCCAATGAGGTCGCCAATGTACATGATGTGATCAACGACCCGTCCCAGGTCACTCTCTTCAGGGACTGTAATTGGAAGCCCATTCTCAGCCCCGACGTCCCTGCAAGCGATGAAGTCGGGAGCAATGTTGACGAGAACAACTGAGTTGCGAGCCTTGACAAGCTTCAATACATGGTCTGGAACGTTGCGTGGATGGGGGCATATGCCAAAGGCTGAACTATGAGAAAACATTACTGGTGCCTTGGAGCCAACCCAGCCCTCGCCGCCTCCAAGTACGTCCACCATTGTTTGCTCACTTCACACTATGAGTCAGTAGGAATGGTTGGAATACCATGGACAACGCCAAGGAGCTCACCTAGTATGAGAAAGGTCTACTATCAAACCCACACGGTTCATCTCTCTGATCAACTTCCGGCCCTCGAGGCTGACGCCATTATGGAGAGGAGTTGCTTTCCTCATAGGATTCTCTTCAAGGGCAGCGTCAGCAAACTTGTTGTGACAGTTGTGGCTCAAGGTGATATAGCGTGCACCCATGGCGTGAAACCGTCGTAGATTTGAAACCTTGTTGCCGATCTGGTGGAGGCCTTCAACGCCAATTGGCGAAATTAGCTTTCCTTGAAGAAATGCGGATAGGGCAGTATCGACGGTGATGCCTTGAGAGGGAGAAAAGTCATCGGGAAACAGGTCGTGTATTCTATTAGTGAGGTCAATTTGGTCGTATGTGAATTGAACGGCTGCATCTCTTATATCAGCCATACTTCATCAACTGGGAATATCAGTTCACAGGTCATTTACCTCTCCACTCATTCTCATCTGAGAGATCAGTGCCATTTTGAGGACAGGGGCTGTATACGCTCCAGAAAGCGCCGCCAGACAAGCCCTCTCTCAATCGCTTGATATCAAGGTCCCCAGGGAAGGGCCCGTTGGCAAACTTGTGCTTCCAATCATCGTTATCGATCTGATTTTTGTACATTACACGAATGAGCACAGCAAGGTCGACATGGCCATCTACAGAAAGCACATATTTGGTAGGTTAGAAACAATTGTCCATAGAAGACCAGTCTGACACACAAGAGACACATGCTCACCAATCAACGGAGTCTTCGACAGAATGGCACGAGCTCTTTCATCCGCAGAACGCGATTTATGGGCATGATGTGAAACGCGATGGTAGCAATGAGAGATTGGCCGATGAAGCAGGGCAAAAGACGCGATCATCAAAAGAGCACTGATAATCAGGGTCTTGGGCTTAATTCTGAGACGTCTCTGCTCCTCTTGAGCCGCCTCGCCAGCTTCAAGGCATTGGCCCTTCTTAGTTGATAACATGTTTGGCCCTTTTTCATGTATATTGATAAGCCAAATGACTCCGGGTGGAATTAGGAACCAACACGACGTTGACTGCGGGGCTATGAAGGGGTGTTGAAGCGTACGTAAGTATATGTGGGACAGATTGTCACTGACGGCGGTTATGATATCAACAGGGATAGGAGATGTCGTAGGACGGTGATGTGTCCCATGTTAACAGGGACTGCCAAAGTGTTTCCATGTCTCAACTATTCAACACATGTCACAATCTTTTTGAGAACGATTTTAAAGCCCAATAAATGTGTTTATGATTGCATATGATGTGACTGGTACAATTGTTCGTCGAGGTCACTACGGTCCCTGTTTTTCTGACAGCCACTTGGTGCCATCTCATGGTGGTGGGACGGGTTGTTCCTTGCACCAACAAATGGACCTTAAATCACGGGTATTTCAGTTCATTTCCTCTCGCACCCGAGTGGCTGGCTTCCCTTCAGGCGGGATCCGCGAACACCGTGGATCTTTGGTCGAAGGTCGGACTCACTCTCACACACGGAGCTAGGCTAGTTGGCTAGGTACTCGACACAGAGAGATAGCTGTCATCTTACATACATACGCTTATGCGGAGACATATGACCAAGGAGGGCAAGTCGCTTGCGACCTATCATACCTGTGAGACAAGACAGGCTTGCTTGCTCAATGCTATGCTTGCTGTTAGACCTCGTACCTCGCGTGACGAGATGATGATTCAGCACACAGGCAGCTCTCCAAGTCAATCGGCAGCGTTCTGCCACACACCAAGCCATCATGTGTCTTGCATTGGTGCCTGACCCAGAGATTACATCCAGCGACGAGAATCTAGCCAGCATCTGTCCAGTCCTTGGCTCCGATCCAGTACCCGTGCTACCCATGCCTTGGGGCTTGGGTACTATTTGCCCGCTAATGCCCCTAGTACGGCGTGTGGCAGTGTGCCTACAGCATGCTGACGGCTCTGTGGCTCGCTAAATTGCAGGTTGGCAGAGCCCTATCATGCCCTGCCGACTCAACCTGGCTGTGGCGCTGGGGCTGCCTCAGCATGCTGGCTGGGCTATTCTTAGTGCTGAGGGCTGACGAAACGCGAGACCAGCTAACAGCTCGCTCCCTCATTGGGCCCAACCCAGCACCTGCACCTTAGGCCGGGGTCAAGGTTCATGGCCTCAGCTGGTTACTAGCACAGCGCTGTCGTTGACATTACTCCAGAGACGGGGGAACGAACATTCTTTCGCACATCCCTAACCCGGCACCGCCCATCTCAGCATCCTCATATGAATTAGACAGCAGAAGTCCTGGCCTCGACCTCGATTCCTGCCTTACGACGTACAGCACCGGGGCTTTGACGCACCCAATCGATACCCACGCCCGACTCTGCCTCTTGATGATCTGCAGCGCCCCGTGATCCTCCACTCCTTTTCTCAATTCGCACCCATCGCTTTTTCCCCTTGGACTTCTCAGCAACGTGGCTTTCGATCGACTTCGCTCGTTCTCGACGATTCCCGACCTCACGCGACCCCCGCCCGCTTCTCTTGTTCCTGGCCTGGACACTAGGCTCCCAGAAACGCCTCTGGCAGTTGTTCGATCTCGAGGGGGCTCTATACCGTGAGCTAGTTTGGGAGAAAATCATCAGAAATCAAGGGCCACAATAGTAAAAATGCCCGGTTTCGCAGATTCGTTCTGGTCCAGCGACTATGCCGCAGGTAAGTCGCTGGCTCTTTGCTTGCCTACCCCTCCCCGGTATCTCGCCCGGGCTAACTGAGTCGTACCTAGGTCTCGGCGTTCTGTTTGGCAAGCTGCAGCAAGGCGCCCAGGAGAACCGACAAGTCTTGACCATTGCACGCATGCGTGCCGAAGCTGAGGAGCTCTACGGAAGTCGACTGTCTGATATCGCACCCGCCACGGACAAAGTGTCTGGTGGATTCGCACAGGATGATGGAGCTACAGTTCGCAAGGTTTGTTTAATGCCTACCTATTCTTGCTTACTTGCTTTCGAGCCCAATTTAACGGTTGAATCTCTCAGGCATATGATGGCATGCGGTCGGAAATGCAAGAGGCTGCTCGCAGCCACCAGCGAATTGCACAAAACATTCGTGACCTCGTTGTGAACCCTTTCTCTCGCTGGTGTGATGCTCATGAGAGCCGGCTACAAGATTCACAGGATGATCTACAAGCCCGAATCAAGGTCCACGATCGCCAGGCTGAGACTATCAAGAAGTTGCGATCCAACTACTTCAATAAATGTCGCTTGCTGGAAGACCTTGAGGAGGAGAACAAGTTGGGTTTCCAGGACCCCGAGACCAGCCCGAAGAACCCCGCCATCCC